GGGGTTGAAATAGATTTATAACTTTTACTTTACTTCAAAATCACGACATTCTACAAAATAACTTCCGGCTCTTCCAATAATAAAAAATATAAAATTTAATATAAAAAGAATAAGATCAATACATTCCCCTTATTCCATGCTCTCCCATTCAGTTTTTCCGTCTTTTCGTGTGGTTGCGAGTCCCGTGGCATCAATTGAATGCGAGTTGGCAGCCGCGCACACCTCCCAGCCTCACATGGCCGATCATCCTGGTTTGCGATTGCGATAGAATCGCCCAAGCCTAAACCATTTTCAGCCGAGCACTCCCCCGCACTAGCACATTAGTATCACAACCGCACTAGCGAGATGAAATTACGAGGCCATTATGGTGCATGCGGGGGTGCACGACTGCACGTCCTGCATAACGAACGAGTAACAAACGAGCCTCCCACCAGCACCACGGGGATCGATGTTTCGATGATTCTTGGGACCTATCACGGACGGACGTACTACTCGTCGTCGTCGTCGTCTTCGTCGTCATCTACAACTAGTTAATCCCAACGAAACCAGTTTCTCTCCGCCGTCGCACGTCTTTACCCTGTTCCCCGTGGAGGATATATACTCGCGACCTCGTCGTGCACAGATGCCCGCCCTATCGTTCTTCGTCCCCTCTCAGACAAACAGGAAGGTATAAACCAAGTGGGAGCTCATCAAAGCGAGTGTTCAGAGTAGTCTAAAAGAAATAGTTCTCGATCAATCGCCACCAACGTCATGTCGTCGTCCTGCCAGCCTAAAACCCAATAGTATTATTTCCCCGCACGTCCAATAGTCACTCGCACACTCTTTCTCTTGGCCCGTGCTAGCCCGTCGCCCGCATTCAGGCATGGATCCGTGATCTTCGAAGGCTCGTACGCTCTTCTCCCTTCGATTAAGGGATGACGTTAAAAAGCTGGTAACCCCGGCGTATTAATGAAACGTACGACTACGACGAGGAAGACGAGTTCGCGAAGCAGTCTGCACGTCGTCGTCAACTTAGCAGCTACCCCGCAATGCATTTTACTCGTGTTACCAGCGTCGAATAAATTCGCAATTATTCCACGGGATTCTGGACTGGTAGGGCTGTATATACACACACACCAAACTGAATGAATGGGTCAGGTTGACCAGGCCAGGTCACATGTCCAATAAGCCTCAAGGAGACCGTGCGCGCAATAACATTTGACAAAAAAAGGTATAACACGGTGATCATAGGGATGATAATGGGATAGCGGGATTTGGAAAAGAGCGGGAATCGATGGGAGGGACCGATAAACTCGGTTGCAAAAAATATTATTATTATTTTGCGATTGACCTTTTTGAGCAGTCGATCCCGCTGACTCGCACTAACCTTTCCCCCTTTTAACCTGTCCCTTCGGCCTCCAATATATCCCGAGCCCGGACTCGTTGCAGTTTTGTTTCTCCGCGGTTTCGCGTTTCTAGATTACCGGCAGTAACAGTATTAAAAAAAGAAATCTTTTTCTTCCAAGCTCTTGAGCTGTGCCTCCCATGACGTGCACACACATATAGATTTGGTGTAGCCATTAACCTTCATCACGCCACGTGTTTCGACTCTTTTTAGAACATCACCCACCGAGTGTACAGTAAAATGGGTTGTGCTGTTGAGCGGGACTGAAAGGGCGCCACAGACAACGTCTGAATTGGAACGCGTGACTAGAGTAACGAACAAGAGCTAACAGGTCTAGAGTGTCTAGCTGAGCAGCGAGCTCACATCCCAAGCGAAGACTGTTATTCTGATTGAAAGTACGCCCGTCGTCATTATCGTGTTGAGAAGGAGGTCTGTATTGGGAGTCAGATGGTGGGTAACGCCGACCACACCAGTGATCACGTATCGCCCACTTGCTTTTTTTTCCATTCACAGTCACCCTTTGCTTTCGTATTGTGCGTCTCATCGCAGTTGATCGCCTGGCAGCTTCCATGTATAGAATGGAGGATGCGGGGAAAGGGAAAGAATCCAAAATCCCATTCTTTACATTCCCTCTCACACGTCATGGATAATCAATGACAGCATCAAAAGGAGGTACTCTTTGACCGCGATTTATACAATGGTACGTCCCTTTCTCCCCGTATGGAATTACAGACCCAACGATTCGAGTTTGTCGTTATCCGCGACGGCCTTTGTGCGTGCTATCAACGGCCGCAATCCGGCGCCGCTACCCGGGGGTACGTGCACTTTTAGGAAGGGAATGCGAGGAATGCGAGGAATGGGTCAGAGGGAGGAAGGAGCGACGGCAGCGCGGTTTCACGTATCGATTGTACATCTTGCATCGATATCGGTGAAAGCGTGCACGACGGGGTTGAAATAGATTTATAACTTTTACTTTACTTCAAAATCACGACATTCTACAAAATAACTTCCGGCTCTTCCAA